ATGCCTTGCTTGCTGGATGACAAGCACCCAGCATCAACACACGTTATTCTTATGTTTATGCTGCAAGAAGCAATACAAAAATTATAACACCATCACGGTACTCTTAGAACTCCTTCACATTCAACAGACAATCTCTGGGATAAATCGAAAATTGCAGAACATATAAAAAAATATCATTTAGATGACAGTTCATGATAACCTAAAAAATTTTAGGCGTGAAAGAATTCTATATATGTTTCTCATTCCATTTGAGGTAGTAAGGATAACATTCATATACACAAATAATATGTTAATATGGAGCTGTAATTTCGTTCGCAAATGTCTATTTTCCTTTCGCAACGACATCAAATCAACATTCATACTTACCAATTTCCATATAATGCACCACGATAACCGCAAGTAAATATGGGTATTCAAATTGGTTTGTTTAGGCTCTCTGATTGGTCGAGACCTGCGTGAAGTTTCCGCAGTCATTCGTAGAGGCAGTAGTTAACGTGTTGCCCTTTCACCTATTCCAGTTGCCACCCCAGAGAACAAAGTCTTGCATATCGGTGTCTGATCTTACATTTATGATGGAAGTGTGCAAGTTTTGTGTATTCTTTAGGGAATAATTAGGATCATTCGAGAGAAATTCAGTTTCCTCATATTCTTACAAATTATGGTGTTCGTGATATCATTCCGCAGTTTCAAGTTCTAGTTGGGATTCTGCTAAACTTCTCAGCGCCCATTTTGCCGGTCATGTTTCTAGTAGAATGTACATTTTTACTGTTTTCTGCCCTTTCTCGCCTGTTCACACACCAATCCGACTTGTAAAGGAAGTCGTGAGAGCTGATGGTTGTGGTATGTACGTATATGCAAGGCTTACAAGTGCATTTTTGCGGCTCTGCGTTGTAAATTTGTGAAGTAGGTTTACTGTTTCTAGGACGTAACTCTGTGCAGTCTTGTAGCTATTTACCGACGTTTTGGAAGCAACATGCTCACACAAAATGGTTGAACTAGCTTCCTTCAGAACTGAGCAACAATCTGTAAGACTACACAACGTGTAATAAGACACTAAGCTTCATAATCACTGCCGGCCTCTACTGTGAGAACAAAGAAGTCCACGTCAGTTTGTTCAAAATAATTAGTATGTTTCCTTACAGACTTGGGCAAATATTTAGAGCTAGGTACTGGTACACTCTTTAGAAATGTGATCCAATATCACTAGGATTCTTGTATATTAATTAATTTTCTACCCACGTGTGATAAAATAAGTTTCAAGGTTATGAAAGATTCTGCATTCTCTTGCAACAGGAATGCCGAGAATTCTGCTACAGAGAGCAGAAGAAACATTTCCTGCTGTGACAGAAAGGATGGTGAGTGTTTTGTGCTTGCGTGCACAGACAAGAATTTTATTGTCATGAGTCAGTTCTCGTATCTTAAGAAACTAAACTTTTTATGCCAAGCTTGTGTTAGTTTTCATAATCCATGTGGGAAGTTTACATGGTTCTTCGTATTGTAACAATTTGCATTGTTTTGTGGGAGAGAGATCAATTCAAGGAAGTGATATGGTTAGGTGTGTGTGTGTGTGTATGTATGTATGTATGAAAGGGTTACGCCATAAAGACCGGCCCTAGCACTGCGACCTTCAATGAACTGTTCTGTTTCCCCTTGGTTTAACCCTTTATTAATCTTACATTTTTAATAAAGTGTAGGACCCTGCTAATGGGGCCATTATAATAGTCACAAGTGACAAAATATTAAATAAGGTGTGGCCCCACAATCACACAGGATGTGTGCTGCTGGTTCATTTTCAGATGTTGGGTTGTCTGTCAGTTCCAACTTGTAAAGGTGTCCTTTCAGGTGGTAGTTCTGGTAAGTAATCCTACCACCCATCTTAGTTGATCTCTGTATAATCTCAACAGATCTTTCATTCTTCTGGCAGAGGGTCCTGCTATAAAACCCTTTGCCTGTCTGAGTCCAATTATGGATTCCCAGTATATTTTATGGTTTCTATCAGTCTAGTCCCTGATGTTTTTGTTGGCAACTCCAATTGAGATGCTGCAACCTGCTTCAGGTCCTATGAACGGCTGTTCAGATCGTGATATGGGTAGGTCATGTAGCAAGCATGTGAGAATGAGAAATGCATACAAAAATTTAGACAGTAGACCTGAAAGAATGAGATCACTTGGGAGACAGTTGTGAAGATGGATTTTGTTAAAGGCACAATTATGGGGTTTTGGACTGTGTTTTTGTCAGGATGCAAAGTCATGGTGTGCATGTGTGAACACAGTGCTTAGGTTCCATAAAGAGCAGATACGTATTGTCTGTACTAACACAGGGACCATAGGTTTCTTAGGAAGGTCCCTGCATTATGAACTTCACACTTCCTAAGATTCTGAAGTCTGTAGAGAAAAAATCTGTACAGAGCAACTGTTATGGGTTAGATGTAATGAGAAACAGCTACAGCAAAGAGGGCATATATTGTTTCGTGTATGGGGTTGTACAACCATGACTGATAGAAGATGTGATGCCTTTACAGAACTGTACAAATTCAGAGAAGGTTTTAGTGGGTCCATATGGTGAGACATGCCCAGCAAGTCATGATGCAAGCCAGGCAATGAATATTAAAGCCGAGGATGTCTCAGACTCACAAGAGGCAGTGGATCCTATGCGAATAACATGTCTGGAAATAAAGGCTAAACCCGAGGTGAGCTGTATGTTTCTGTATGTCCACTGTTAGGCAGATATCACAAATAGGCAGGAATTCCAGTTGTCTTTCTCATCTCCATCTGTATGTCTGTGCACTTGAAACAACTCCACTGTGCTGGTGACATGCCTTTGAAGGCCTTTATCTGAAGTGTCTGTAGACAGTTATAGTTTGTTGAATGTATCCTGCTTGTGATGTACCACTTCTCTTTCCTTTTAAGCACTTCTGATGCAGATGAAAAAAAATTTTGCATAAATGGAACTGTATCTTAGAAAAATTCTATAGCAGCAAAAATTCTTAGGGAGTCGCGGAACTGTTCGCAGTTAGTTAGTGATACACTTGTTAGAACCAATAAGTTACTAGGACTCTTGTGAGCTAATTCCAATGAACCCCACAAGATATTTATCATGTGATGAACAGGTTTCAAGGTTACACAAGATTCTGCATTCTCTTGCAACAAGAGTGGCAAAAATTGTACTGTATAGAGCTGAAGAAATGTTTCCTGAAAGAATTCTGCGTGTTTCATGCTTGTGTGCACAGACATGAATTTTATTATATGTCAGTTGTCTTGGCCAAAGAAACTAAATATTTTGTGACACACTTCTGTTTGTTTGCATAATACACGTGGGGACTTTCATACACTTGGGTGATAACGGTTTGGGATATTATTTAGGAGAGCAGTGCTTTCAAGGGGAGCGATGTGGGTAAGTCATGTAGTGAACATGCAACAGTGAGAAATGCATACAAAGCTTTGGAGGGAAACCCTAGCAAAGCAGACCACTTGGGAGACCTAAGTGTGGATTTGTAAGAAATAATTTTGAAGGGTTTGTACTGGGTCTGTTTCCTTCAGGATACAGAGCCATGATGAGCATGTGTGATCAGAGTAATGAGCCCTTTCTGGCATTCTCAGCTTATCCTGTATTCATTCCTCTTCTCCCCATGCCTGCTATATGAGCTGCCTATCTCATCCTCCTTGACTTGATCATGTAATTATGCTTGGTGAATGAAGGTTACAAGTTGTGGAGCTCTTTATTATGATGTTTTATTGTACCAAAACAGATATTTTCTCTACTGCCCTTGTGACCAATAGTTTCTCGGGAAGGTCACTGAGCTATGAACCGAGTACTTTCTAGTGATCGTGATAGCTGTAGAGAAGAACATCTATACAGAACAGCTCTTATGAGTTTAATGTTACGAGAAACAGCCATAGCAAGGAGAGCATACACCTTTTTAAAGTGGTGTTGTACATCCATTTCTGAGAAGGATATGATGGTTTTTACAGAACTGTAGACATTTGGAGAATGCTTTAGTGGGTCCATATGGTGAGACATGCCCAACACATCATGATGCAAATCAGGCCATGAAGGTAAAAGCTGAGGCAGTTTCAGATGCTGAAGAGGAAGAGGATCCTGTCCCAATAACATTTCCAGAAATAAAGGCTGAACCTGAGGTGAGCTGTATGTGCACTGTTAGGTAGATGACACAAATGTGCAGAAATGCCGCTTGTCTTGTCTGTGATCATGAAACAACTCCACTGCACTGTTGACTAGATTCTGAAGGTTTCTTTTCCTGAACTGTCTCCAGGCAACTGTATCCAGATTTCCTTTTGAGCAGATCTGATAGATGAAATGAAGTACTGTATAAACTGAATGTTTGCGGTAAATTCTCTTTGTCTGTTGCATCCACAAAGCAGTGCTTCGTTACTACAGCATAGAGTTCCCAGGATCTATAAATGCTGAAGTTTATCATTTGTTTTCTGTCTCCCATGCAGTCTGTATCCATGTAATAACATGCAGGTGTCAGTATGTTGAGGATTTGTAACAGGATAACCAATGATTCTCTAAAGATTTGTGACAATGTGTGACTGAATATAGACACATGTCAGCTGTTTCCCTTTGTTTGAAGTAAATTTAATATACGTGACACTGTTGGAGTTATCCCTGGTGACTGGTTGTCATGACAGATTTTTTTGTTGTTTTCTCTCAGACAGAAAGGTGACTGAACATTGGATGCAAAGGATGTGTAAAAGGTGTAGAAAGCAACAGTGAAGAACTGGCATTGGCAACACTTCCTAATACAAGTATACTGACACAGTTGTGGTGAAATGGAATATACAATGCATGTAATTAAACACACAAATATGGCTCTTAATGAACGTCAAAAAAATTTCTGTATATACATATAGACAGAGTTTCTTACTTTTCTTGGCCTGTTTACAGCTCTGCATTTCACAGCGACTGACACACTGCTGGCTGCAAGGGGCATACAAATTTTGACAATGAATCAGTATGCCTGTGGCCTGTAACTTGTGGAATGAAGTATACAATTCACAGGTCACAGAAGGTGTTGAAAATGCTGTCCCCCTACACTTAGACATTCCTTGCACCAGCAGAAGGGGTTCTGATTAACCCTTAACCTTTAACAGAGGAATGTTATATATATCCACAGCAAGTAGCACCCTGTGTTGGCCAAATGTTATATATTTATTTATATAGGAGGAAGGACTCCTGTTCCCTTTGGGTGTGCTGACAGTTTGATCTTGGGCTTGAAACAAAAACAAACCCATGCATGTTCATGTCAGTGGTTCATTCTTAGCTCTGAGCAATGAGATTGTTTATCATGGTACTGGTTTTTATACTATTTATGTTTAGCTATGACTGTTTATGTTGTGGTCAGCCAAATAGAACACAGTTTTGTTTTGACAAGTGAGGACTGTGCTGGCATGTTACTGCTTCTAGAGCTTTGAAGGAAATGTGACGTATTCAAGGATTGGTTTTCAGTAGTGAATTATCACTTAGGAAGTCAGTGTCGGATTGTCAGATATTTCTTTTCAGTTTGAATGTCAGTGTCATACTCATATATTTCTTTATATATTGTCACATGTTGGGTATGTAACGCAACTAATACCTTCACACCATATTGAATATAGCGAATTTATTCCACATTTGCTCGCACACTTATACAATTAACAGTTACACAATTACTGCCATCGGCAGTATCACAATTTACTTCCACTTCTGTTGGGGACTTTACAATCCACACTGTCACTCCTGATCTCACACTCTGCTCACATACTGCTAAGCTGGAGTTTTATACCATTCCCTGTTGCCTTGTGTTAACGGCGGTGTCCCCAGTTATGTCACCGCGGGGGGGAGGGCAGAATGTTTACTGGCCTGTTACCGTAGCAGCCGCTGTTGCTCCGATGCTGTTATGTCACCGCTGGCAGTGAGGTGGTGTCCTGCATAGCAGAATTACATCACAATATTTTATTTTGTGTGTCGGAAAGGCTATAAACCCATTGAGCCGGATTTACTTTGTGAGTAAAAGGCATCTTCATGACTGTGACTTGTGGTATCAGTGTCGGTCTGGCACTCTTTTTGACTAATGTTGACTAATGTTGTTCAAAGTGTGATGTTGCTCTGTGTGTCGTGGACTGCTTCGAGAAGTGGCACGCACGCTCGCATCAAGAGTGTGAGGTATAATAAACTGTGAAGTGACTGCATACTTCTGTATACATTTTATGTACATATGTAGCTGTTGCAAGTCGTTCACACTTCTGCTTCTACAGTGTGGTGTGCCCAATACCATTTCACACATCCAGAAGTAGTGGCCATTTTCTGGCAATTGCCAAATGTTTAAATTGTCAAGGAATCTTGTGTGGCAAGCTAGGAGGTGACTCATATGGATTTTCTCATGGTATCATGGTGAATATGCCTATTGAACTGACACTGTGCTATTCTTCTTCTTGACGCCTTTTACTGTCACGTGTAAAGGGGTTTTGCCGGGCCATATGCAGCCTTTCTTAGTATCATTTTTTTAGCTCAGGCTTTATTGTTATTTCATTCTAGGAGCCTCGGTCCCTCCCTCACCCCTCCATCACCACTCTCACGCCTAACGAATTTAACGTCTCACTGTATTCAGGCTTCAAGCTTATTTCTCTTGTTATTAGGATTTATCATGTTATTTACTCTCATTTTCCAGGGTAATTTGAATGAACTTCAACCCATACATGGTGAGGAGCACCAATATTCTTGTGATGAGTGTGGTGATTCATTCAGTCAAGAGGAAATTCTGATAGCACATCAGCACATACATAGTGGGGAGCAGCCATTTTGTTGCAATGGATGTAATAAGTCATTCAGTCAGCAGAGTAGTCTGAAGGCACACCAATGCATACATGGTGGTGAGAAGCAATATTTCTGTGAAGTATGTAAAAAGTCATTTAGAAAGCAGATACATCTGAAGACACATCAGCGCATACATAGTGGTGAAAAGCTATTTTTCTGTGATGTATGTAATAAGTCATTTAGAAACCGGAGCCATCTGAAGACCCATCAGCACATACATAGTGGTGAAAAGCTATTTTTCTGTGATGTATGTAATAAGTCATTCAGTCAGCAGATTAATCTGAAGACACATCGACGCATACATAGTAGTGAAAAGCCATTTTGCTGTGATGTATGTAACAAGTCATTCAGTGATCTGAGTAGTCTGAAGATACACCAACGCATACATAGTGGGGAGAAGCCATTTTGCTGTGATGTGTGTAAAAAGTCATTCATTTCAAAGTGTGTTCTGAAAAGGCATATGGACATACATAGTGGGGAGAAGCCATTTTGCTGTGATGTATGTAATAAGTCATTCAGTGCTCTTTGTAGTCTGAAGAGACACCTACACATACATAGTGGGGAGAAGCCATTTTTCTGTGATGTATGTAATAAGTCATTCAGTCAGCGGAGCCATCTGAAGAGCCATCAGCGCTTACATGTTCATGTGCGCAGTAAATCATAGAGCAGTAGAGATGGCTTCATCCTAAAGGAACAGTATGTGAGTTGTAGCATGCCACAGTTTTCATGGTTTGATTTTGTAGAATGCTACAATATATTGCAGTTTATTGCTGTTGCTAACCTTTCTAACTGACGTATAATGAACTGAGTCCCATCATACAAAACGTCCATGCTAATGAGTTCCATTTGATTCTGGCTGATGAATATGCACAAGGATCTCTCTTGTTGAGTGGAAACACACATTACATGACATGACGTTCTCCTGCAGTTATGTTAGTTCAGCATTGGAAGCTCATGATTAGTAGGGTGAAATCACTGAAATGGATCAACAGCTTATTCACATAATTCAGCAGTATCATATGCCTTTTGCTGTGTTATCTGTGCTCTTCTGCCATTACATGTGAGTAAATTTGTTGATCAGTTAGTTTTAGATCAATATATCGCTTGAAGATAACTGTTATGGATTGGTCAGATGAATACAAATTATTCTGTATTGGACATTGCAGACAAGATATATTTCTGCGGTATACTTGGTATATTGATTATAAAAAGAAAGTTAAATAAAGGTTTGATTCTGCTTATTGAGAAATAAAGTAGTACAGAGAATTTAATTAAAAGGATCATGAAAGAATTGCTTCCATCTTTTTGTTGTGAATATCAGCAGAGAAACTGAGCGGTCATGAGATCAGAAAGAAAAGTGGTTTGGTACTGAGACAGTCCTTTTTGCTTTAGGTCTCCTTTGCATTAGAGGGAAAAAGTCAGCTGAAAATTGTGAAATATTCTTTAATAAAATTAGGCTGTGTCATTAATATTATTAATTGGAATTCAGAGGTTTCATGTAGTGGAGTGACACAAGAGGAATGGCTTTTAACTGTACTTAAATTCACTGCAGTTATGCCCCTCCCTCCATATGCATTTTCTTTACTGCCTGAATGATCTGCGTCATAACTGAAGCTAATTCTTGGTCACTCTGAGTAAGTCATCTCTGATTACTGACACTTTTCTTTCCAAGGAACGCTTGCTTCATTTTGCATGAGATGTACCATACATTTATCCCTCAATAACTTTGCATCAGCAGAGCTCTTCCTCGTGTATCACCACACGTTGGCTGTTGCTGCATCAC